GTAGAGTCTTACCCATAACCCGGCATTCTTGTAAAACGGCCCCAGTGTTCAAAAGTATAATGAGACACTTGATAGAAACATGAAGTACATACTCCAGACTTTCATCGCGCGCCATGCACATGACTTCCATTTGGAATCTGTTTGACAATGATTCGTGTTTTGCCTATGGTGAGCCAGTGAGTTAGTCCCCAAAACTACTAAATCATGTAAATTAGTGCCAGTGGACGAGATTCGATCTGGAATGATATTTCTGGATTTCTGTACCTCCACTCATCACTCTTACAAAGATCACGTAGCCTACAATGCTGATAAAACTGGTTGTATTCATTTAACGCAGTGCAACGAAGACTTTCTCGTCTACTTGGAGGAAACTAAACTGAAGTGGGTAATAAGAAAAGGTAGAGCCAAAAGCTTGGGCAACTGAGAAGAATGGCGGACCCACGTGTAACAAGCTTGAAGGGAGACAAGCGAATGGGAATTGCAAGAGTGAATATGAAAGTGCTTATGAATATTCAAGAAGCGCCATATAGAAGTGGGAAGAAGAGTAGAGTCATGAATGACAGAAATATGAAGTTAGGGAATAGGGACGAAAAAGTGTTCCTGGCACTCGGACCATCGACCCCCGTCGTGCCATTGATAGCTTCGCAACGGATGGATTCATTGGATAGGGTTTTATCAAGCAAGGCTAGAGGGAATTGTTCAATGCTCAATTCGATCAAAATTCAACGATTTGGAACTATCATCAAGGATATTTCTTCTGCTTCATTTTAACTAGGTTCATTCAACTGTGGAAAAACCACTGCGTATCTATTTGACAATCAAGATTTGTTTATTTATTTATTCATATACTTACAAAAGTGCACCAATATTCTATGTATAATCTGTTTTTATTCTGCTCTAATCCATCAAAAAAGTGTACTCTTCGCCATGGAAGATGGAAGATGAACGACCTTGTTCGTTGAGTTGACCAGTGGACGGTTAACGATGCCTCTGAAACTCAAGCAAGCTTAACCGGTCAAGTACGGATTCCTATGAGACTGAAACAAATAACAGTCAAAGTCACGCTAGCGTTTATATTGTTGTCCGAAAATTTCACGAGTCCTCTGGGGTGGCTCGATGCGACTATCAGCCACCAACACCCCTCAACGGAATCCCCCGTACAATCTCCTCCCCGCCTCCGAGCACTACCCTCATCACCATTGCTGTTCCTAAAATACTTGATTCTGAAAACAAGAGCAGTCGACACACCCCAACTCCGCGCTAATTCTTTGATTTTCTCCTCCTCTCTTTCCCCCTCATACGTAAATTTACTGAAATCGAAAAAAAAAACTCGTTAAAACCTACCCCCCTTAGCAACCATTCCCATTAGGGTGAACATTCCTCGCGCTATGGGGGCGGCGATTGAGCCTAAAATGGAGAAGTAGTAATTCCAGCGCTGGCTTTGAAGGAGTTCCGGAACCATAGCACGCTGAATCCCTCTTCTCTTCTTGCTTGATAGCCGCTCAGCCGCAACACGCCTTCAAAGGAAATAAGTTGTCCTCCCGCCCGGTATCTAATGGCTCTTCTGCCCGGTTACTAATGACTCCTTCGCAAGTTTTTGTGTCGACGAAGTGCGTTTTTCAACACTCCGGGTGGCAAATGGGGGACAGCTCTTGAAAGTCGCAATTCCGCGCGGATTTCTTTTTTTGACAGAAATCCGTGCGCCACAAACCGGCATGGAGATTGACGCAATTAATTTTATTGGGAACATGAATAAAAAGTATGTTGTCCAGTTCTAGCAGAATCGCCGAACTTGATCACCTAAGCGTGTCCTGCAGGACGGCCAAAGACAGATTTTGGTCAGTAACACTTTTGTTAGTAACAAAGGTAGCGTGTATTTGTACTCCTAGCATGCCCGACAGCTAAAATGTGGAATACACCAGGGAGGTCCGTTTCAGGGCGTGACACGAAGGCGTTGTTTGAAAAACGGTCTTTCTGCCTATGATCATATGGGTCAATGCGGGACTACAGAACCGCTAGTTTAATTTTTTCCCTGGACGGCCCTTCTGCAAAGGGGACCTAGTTCGAATCGCTTTTGGGGACATAAATTTTTGCATTCTTCGCTGACTGTTTCGCCAAAATTCCGCGGCAAAATGCAGTTCCGATTTGCCTTGTCTGTTTGTTCTCTAACCATCCATTT